TGGCTTGTGATGGGGTGTGAACCGACAGTCTGTAGAGTTTTCCATCTGGTGCGGGTGAGTGATAGTCTACTTTGATTTTGGTTAAGGTAGATTATCATTTACAGTGTAATCAGTGAGGGGATTCTGCAGACTGTTGAGGGTTCAGCCTCGTGATGAGTCGGTGAAACTCCGACGTAACAGTTTGTCACAGCCCCTCGTTTGTTGTCCTCTTCTCTCTCTCTGCCTACGGTTTACCAGGCAGTTCTGTTCGTGACGATATATAGCTGAGCCAGATTCAACTATGCGAATGGACGGTAGTGACAACATTTGAAATTACAAAAATCATCATTTTATTTTTGTTATTTTCTTGTCAATTAAAATCAAGAAAGTTCAAAGCAGTCTTTTTTTCTTAAATTGCATTACCCCCACCTTGGGGCAACAATCACCAATGTCTATGTTTTATGTATGTATGTACTATGTATATATACATATGTACATACATATACATATATCCGATATATACAATAGTTTTTTTTTAAAATACCGTTTTATTGAAGACAGACGGCGTCCAATTTTGATTGTAACCCTCATGTGCTCATATCATCCCCCCTAGCAGGAAATCCGGGGTCCAACTGTTGTTAAGAAAAGAAGAAAAAAAAGTTCACATATATCCTTTAGCCTTTCCTGCCTCTGGTAAGTAGGTTAGCATGATTCGCCGAGTATGACTGTGTTCTGATGAACCTGATTTGCATTGCAGGCCAAGTTCATGGGTCATTGAATGTTACATCTCTTTGAATTGAATTGAATTGACCTTTATCAGGCTTTATGGCCCATCTTCATCTCCTGGCGGTTTTTCTTTTCCATGTCGAAGAAAGCAAGAAATGACAAAAGTCGTAGTTGAAAATCACGAGTTTGACTCAGGTTGTTGCTTTTTTAAAAGCAGTATAGAGATTGAAGTTTTAACTTCTAAATAACTTCTTTTCATTTCTGTTCTCTACCACTCCATTTATCACTCTTTTTTTTTAGTGCTCCATTTCAGTTTTGCTCTTGTGGTTCTCTCTTCTCGGTTCCCTTGTCAGATTCTGGACCAAGTATGGGCTGAGCAGCTTGTCAAGGGTGAGAGTGACCTGCAGAGAGTGGGATGGTGAGTCATAACCGAATACCGCAGGCCCCTCTTGATTGCTTGATGGTTTGGTTGGTAGGCTGGCTGGTTGGTTGGTTGGTTGGTTGGTTGGTTGGTTGGTTGGATGGATGGATGGATGGTTGGATGGATAGATGGTTGGTTGACTGACTGGTTGGTTGGTTGGTTGGTTGGTTGGTTGGTTGGTTGGTTGGATAGGTGGTTGGTTGGTTGGTTGGTTGGTTGGTTGGTTGGTTGGTAGGCTGGTTGGTAGGCTGGTTGGTTGGTGGGATGGATGCGTGGTTGGATGGGTGGTTGGGTGGTTGGGTGGTTGGTTGGTTGGTTGGTTGGTTAGTTGGCTGGCTGGTTGGTAGGCTGGTTGGTTGGATGGTGGATGGATGGTTCGAGGGAGGGAGGAAGGGAGGGACAGACGAATGGCGGATGGGCTACGTGACACCCACGCTGTGGCCGCGGGCACTTTGGCCGCCACGGCCGCGGCCGCGGCCAGGAGGCCCAGTTCACGGCCTGTTTTTTTGGATATCTTTTTTAGGGTAAAAAAATACATGAAAAAAATAAATAAAAATATGGGGTTGTAGGGTTTGTAAAACCCTACAACGCTTTATTTTTATTTTTTTGAATTCGGCTTCATTTACTAATTTAAAAAAATGAAAAACGAAAATCGGTTAAAAAGAAAGAAAATAAAAATAAATAAAAGAAAAGCAGTATTTTTTTTCCCCATTTTTTTCATGAATGATATGCAGTTAGAGTCCTAAAAATTTTGCACAGGGAGAACCTTCTTCTTTGCTGTTTTTTTTTTCCCCTTCTTCTTCTTCTGTCTTGCTGTTTTTTTTTTTCCCTTCTTCTTCTTCTTCTTCTTCTTCTTCTTCTTCTTTTCCTCCTCCTTCGGGCAATTCGGCAGTGGTGGTCAGACACACACACACACACACACACACAGGGGGGGAGAGAGAGAGAGAGAGAGAGAGAGAGAGAGAGAGAGAGAGAACAGGTTAGTCTCCAACCTCACAGCTGGCCTCATGGTACTGTCATCCATACGATGACCAAAATCGAATAAATCTACCAGTGGAACATGGAAATATACGCTGTATGACCTTGTTTGTTTGTGTGTGTGTGTGTGTGTCTGTGAGAGAGAGAGAGAGAGAGAGAGAGAGAGAGAGAGAGAGAGAGAGAGAGAGCCTGAGAGGGGGGGGGGGTAAGTCTCCAACCTCGCGGCTGGCCTCCTGGTACTTCCATAGATAGGATGAGCAAAATCTAACGAATCTACCGCTAGAACATTGAAATATACACTGCCAGACTTGTTTCTTTGTTTGTTTTTTTATTTGTGTGTGTGTGTGTGTGTGTGTGTGTGTGTGTGTGTGTGTGTGTGTGTGTGTGAGAGAGAGAGAGAGAGAGAGAGAGAGAGGGAGAGAGAGAGAGAGACAAGAATAGCAATAATGTCTTGTAATTCTTTATAACGCTGCAAAGTTTCTTTTACTCCTTGAGCAGTTTCATAATGTTCTTCTCCTACGATCCATGGCTGAAGCATAGTAGATGTTGAATCAAGTGGAAACGACCCCCCTGAAATTTCACCTTTTCTTTTTCAGTCGATTATGGTGGGGGACGCCATGCACAGGTGATGCGCGCGCCCCGATTTCGGGTGCGCAGCTTTGCCTGCTCGTGGCGAGGCCGCGGAAAAAGTTGGCCGCGCGGCCTCGGCTGCGGCCTAGGGGGTCACATAGCGGATGCCATTGGGCAGATAGACAGATGGAGGGGCGGATGGAGGGGTGGACAGATGGAGGGGCGGATGGATCGGTGGACGGATGGACAGGCAGATGGATTAGCGAATGGGTGGGCGGATGGATGGAGGGATGACTGGAGGGATGGAGGGAGGGAGGGAGGGATGGACGGGCGGATGGATGGGCGGATGGATGGGCGGATGGATGAAGGGATGGATGGACAGGTTGAATGGAGGATGGATGGATGGGCAGATGGATGGGTGGGCGGATGGATGAGCTGCTTGATTGGCCTATTGATTGGGCCAATTGGTTGGCCGATCCATTGACCAATCCATTAACCGTTGACTGGCCATTTTATTGGTTGCGTGATGATTGATTGTCAATCTAGGAAAGCAAGCTAGGAAGGCAGTCATGAGTCTATCATGAGAATCGAATGTGCGACCTCCCACTTGGGAGGTAAACACTCAACCAAACGGCTAAGTGGACTGGGGTGAAAGTTAAGCCCCATGATGAGAACTTTACCCCACCCCAGCACAGATTTCTCCGTGTCCCGGTGTACCGAGTCACACACACTCAACCACAGGTCGTCGACACAGCCACCGAACAGTGTACAACTGCACTGCCGGGTGCCACGCTAGTCAATGATAGGAAAGCACTCACAAGTCGATCACGAGAATTGAACGCGGGACCTCCCACTTGGGAGGCAAAAACCATGAAAACACTCAACCAAACGGCTAAGTAGACTGGTCAATCACCAGATGAATAAAAGTTGTTGATTGACCAATTGATTGGTCAATTCCAAACTTGCGGCACACACCACCGGTGCGCACTGCGCTGCGCTATGTGTCGGCCCTGCCGGGCGCAGCGCACATGCGCGCACGCGTGCGGGTTGGGCTGGGCCAGGTGCGCTGGATGTGCTTTTTTTTTTTTTTGTG